ATTACGTTATATCTTTATTTGGTGTAATTTAACGTCGGTTAAATTCCGTTGAAATATATCTTTGTGTACGTGTGACAGGCATTTCGTTCGTTGATGCAAAATCCGGCCAAACACAGAGGGATCCGGGACTTTCGTTCGATGACATCGGCTGACATTCCTGTATCCAACGAAAGATGCCGAAAGCACCGTCCACCTACCGCAAGAGCACAAAACTAAAAGCCTCGTTCTCTACACACCTCGACAAGTATCACTTTTTTTAGTTCTTGTTTACACTGATATGTGAACATCTGGACATATTCTTTTGACGACTTGTGTTTGGTCATTACTATTGAGAAAGCAGAGAAGGAAGAAAGCTGCCCAAGATACGGATACGACCACGTGAGTAATCTGCACGACGCCCTCTCACCGAGAAAGCTCCGATCGCTTTTGTTATATGCAGACGCACGGCTGTTTCCTCGGATACTCCATATCAGATTCTGGTCCAAAAGTCCTATGGGGGAAATATGTGAATCACACCGCGGTCGGTCAAAAGAGGAAAACAATGGGGTTTGAAGCGAGAAGTCAAAAGACGTAACACGCGTCTGTGTCTCAGTAGCTGCGCGCATGACCGCATCTCCACGCAAGAATGGTAGGGCTATGCTCAGCTGTGTGGACAGTTGGATTCGCTCGTGAGTAACGCACCCCATCTTTTTCCAAATTACGAGGAAGAAGATGTGGTCACCCACCGTCAAGGGGTCAACACGGTGCCCAATTACTCACTAGAAAACAAGTTTCTCTGAGATACAACGACAGAGGATCGAACTGGTGATCAATTGTGGTGATTCTGCAGCTGTGTGTGAATTGGTGGTAGCCTGTAGGGCTGTAGGGTTGGGGGGCAGGTGACGCCGCGTAAGTAAAACTGGCAAAATTTGACCTGGCCAATTGAACAATTTCACAAGAAAATATATGGAAACCCAGAAAAACTTTTATCTTTCTCTTTTTACTTAATCTAAATTTCGTGGTAAACCCATTATGACTTGCACCTAATTCGAAGCGCCTAAACTTTTGCAATGTATAAAGATAATCACGTAAATTCACGTATAATTTTGTAAAATTATCTAAATTTAAATAATTTCTTAAACTTTTACATGTATCTAGATAGATGAGTGTGTGGTGCAATTGCATGAAAAACGATTTTTCATCGACACTAAGATCGACGAACTCAATTTATCAAGGGTCCAGAAGTATGGGACTAATTATTTTTACCCCTTAAATTGTCCATTATGTATAAACCAAAGGGAGGTGACACGAAAGAACAGGAAAATGACAAAAAATTCCCCCTTTTAACTTGAAGCTACTCTTTGCAAGAGAACATGCGTCCTGATTATGTTGCCAAAAGGAAAACGAAGGTCAGGTCTCTCTCTCTCTCCATGTAATTCTCCAGGCGACTAATTGTAAGCAATCCGGAGATTGTTCTTCCGGAGGACCTTTGTTTCGGTTCTTCCTAATACCAACTAGTTAGCTTGTCCTAATGTTTATTGGTAGGTCTCGGTGTGCTAGTCGACGACGTGGACGAATTGTGAACTCTCGATAAAAATGACTAGATCAAGTGGCCCCTAGCGCAACTCAATCGATCCTCTGAATGATCGATCATGTCTACGTACGTAACGTCGATTCGGTGTGCTTCCTGGTTGGCGAAATGTGTTGCCCCATCCAACCTCCATGGGAGGAGCGAGGCCTATCCCCTTGCTCAGTCCCTACCCAGACCAGGACGATTAGGACATCGTACCCAATACCTTGCTCAAAACAAGGGACTGATCATTTGAAGGGCACTTTTCATCCTATGAACAATCCATGCCACTTGGGAATCTAGTCTAATCTTAGCCTAACACATATCAGATTGTACAGCTTACGTCCACATATTTGTTTTAGCCATCAATGCCGTACCACCAGGGCCCGTGTGGATATATATTACACGTACATATTGGACTCACATTCTGTCGGCTTAAATTTTTCTTCTGGGGAAGGCGTAACGATATTATTACTCACGTTCTATGAGTTCAAATACTAGCATTCCTCATCATCGCTCTATCTATCGCGCTTCTAATCCCGTTGTCCGTTTGATGCTGTGCGAAGTCGGTACTTTACCCTACGACGATCTCACTTACTGTGCTTGACCAAGTATAAAGAATCCATGTAAGAGAAAAAAGAAAAGGAACCAATTAATTCGAATACATGAATCCCCCCGCATTTAAGGATCATTGAACGTGTACGGTCCACCATTTGGAGAACGGACTGTTTTGTTGCTTCATGCTGAACAAGCCAGTCGCTGTTTTGTTGTTCGAAAAGAGAATGCTATGGACGATGGTCGTGGATTTGGGAGTATCTATCCTAAGCTACTGGTCCCGAACCAAACCTAATAGACTATACATCCAGTTGGAGTCAGCCTGTCATTCTGTTCCCAATGCTAGGTGTCTCCCCCTCTTGAAAAATTACTTATAATTTCGGCGCACGTGAGCTCAGTTGAAACACACCATCGAACGAGATAGCATCTAACTAGTATGATCCAACGGTAAAGGTGCATCGAGCTCGTATGCACCGAAACCGTACAATAATGACTCCTCTCGAGTCTACTAGTCTTCTCCCTACCATTTCCGCCTCACTCTCCTCGACGAAAAAGAGGAAAACAAAAACGGACTCAAGCTTTAATTTGGTATATTATGAATCTTTGTTTATATTTAGGCTTATACGATCTATCCTCCGAGATATCTATTTTTTTTTTGTATATACCACAGAAGTGATGCTGCGAAGAGGAGAAGCTATTTGCACGCATCATAAGTAAACTTGTTAAAATAGGTTATAAATCCATTTCTTAACCCGTATATCATATAATGTTTATACCCATTATATGAGTGTTAAATGAGTCATAAATTGGTTATAAATGAATTTATAATTAATTTAAACTCAACTTATCTCTTTCGTGTTCACTCAATCTCGCGCTCGCTCTCTCCGCACCCCCATCTCAATTTGGTTACGAGTGTTCCTAGATTAAATTAAATATGAAAATATTTTAGCAATATGAATCGGGTATGAGTCATTAAATTTTCATTATATGGAAAATGAGTTAAAACGGATTAAATTGGCTTATTTGGATCGGATCATTTTCGATTCGGCACAAATCCGATCCGACCCACCCGTTCGGCAAATTTAATCATGAGCTACAAAGCCACAGTTGAAATCGCTGACCACCGACGGGGCCCCGCTCGTGCCAGGAGCAACCAGCCCCGTTCGATTTGAACCTTCTGCTCTGCTTCCGTTTCCGTCCGCACGTTTCCTTAATTGCCCGCTCAGACACACCCTCCCTCCATAAATACCTGCCCACCGTGAACGTTAAACCCGCGCCAGCTTTTGCACGTAGAGCGCACGAGCAGTCCTCGCTCGAATGTTCAGCGGCCTTCCTTGAAGGAAGAAGAAGGAGTGGAGGAGGAGGAAGAGCAACCCCCACTCAAGAAATGAAGAGGGTCGCTCTGGCTTGGCTATGCCTGCTCTCGGTAGTAGCTCAGATCTCGCTGCTGCAGTCAGTGGCAATGGCGGATCCGTCGGAGGCTTCCGGCGCGAGCTCGTCTCGGATCGAGGCCCGAGCGGCAATCCGATCGCGCAAACTGGTCTCCGAAGCCGCTGCAGAGCCCGCCACTAGCGTCGCCAAGGCATCGGAACACAAGGAAGAGTCCCCCGCGGTGTCGGCGGCGGCGGCTGAAGCGCCGGCGGGAGTGGAGGCTGCTGCGGCTACAAAGCACAGGTCCACAGATAAGTCCGTGGCCGGCGGGGGGGTCATCATCGGAGGCCTGGTGACCGCCTTTTTCGCCGCGGTGTTCTGCTACATCAGAGTCACCCGGAAGAGAGACGTCGGCGCCCGTTGAGCTTGCTTAATATGCGAGTTCTTTTTTATGTGTGAAGAGCAAAGGTATAGCGGTTTAGGAGATAGATAGGTAAAACGACAGACGACGACAAAGCTTAGCTTAGCGACAGATTACGAGTGGAAGAAAAGAAATTTGTGTATGCTTTCGATTGATTAAAATCTTTGATGATTAGTTTGTGAATGGACGTGTTTGTTCATGAAATTCGATCGGACCATCGGCCGGAGGAGTCTTGTTTGAGATATCGATTTCGCTTTCCTAATTCAAACGCGCGACTCGCTTTAATCTGCACATCATCGACGTCGCCGTCGCCGTCGCCGTCACCATGAAAAGGCATTTGTAGAAGTGTGAATACATTAAATCAAAGGAAGTAGCCGTAGAGAAGCAAAGGCATCTGAGCGAAGAGCGTTTCAAAGCAGAGGGTCCTCTGGCTTTGACAACGACCTGTCCGTGAAAAGCGCATCATCACATGGACTAATGATAGTCAGATTGGGGAGGAATAGCACATAATTTGTACTGGGCTTCATAATATTTCGAGTTGGTTTTGCTCAATAATCCTGTATGTTACGATGTAAATTACCGAGATAAATGCTAAATGATATTGAAGATTATAAGTGAACATTAGAGTAAAAGGAAATTGAGATGATGACGAGGGATCGTTATTGACAATGCAAGTAACGGTCCGTCATCCACTGCTCATTTTTCTAAGAAAATCGATACGCTTGGTGTATTAGTTTTTTCTCAACTCTTGTGATAATTCATAAATTTGCCTCGAGTCTGTTCATTTGTTGGTTTGAACCATCATAAGTTAGATCGCCCAAAAAACCGTTAATGAGTTAATTTTAAGCAATGAACTCTATTGTAATACAACTTGTCGAGCCTAAGTTTACTCAAAAAGAGTTGCAAATTGATAAATCCACTCCACCATTCAAACTGCTAAAAATTGAGTGCGGATTGAATAGCAGTTACGGTTACCTTACCGAAAACAACTTCCCATGATCTTTCCAACTTCCATTTTATCTTGTGCTTTGAGATGAATCAACCTCACCACATTCGGTTACTCTCACATACAAAAGAAGATTGCGTTCCTTTCCGTTGGCATCAATGGCTTCTTGTTCGTGGTGGCGCTTGCCGATCTACTCCGTCGTCTCGGTGGTCTTGGCCTTCATGGCCATCTCCGCATCCCTTCGCTCGACCGACGAAAGTCTGGTGGCTCCCTCGAGCAGCCCCAGTTTGCACCAACTCCACTTGAACGCCTCGAGAGCTCTCAGAAGAGCTGGGTTCACCGCGATGGCAGCGCTCCTTCCCGTCGCTCCCGAACTGTTCTTTTCTTCACCTAATGCGACGATCTTCGCGATCAAGGACTCATTCATGGCTAACCTCTCTTTGACTCCATGGCTGATGGAAGAAGTCCTTCGGTACCACACCTCCCCATTGAAGCTCTCAGCGGACGATCTCCTGAAGATGCCCCAAGGAAGCTGCTTGCCCACATTGCTTGCTAACAAGAACGTCGTGATTACCAGAAGCGACGCCAAACGTAGACTTGTTGAGATCAATCGGGTTGCGATAACACATCCTAATGTTTTTCTTGGAGAGAGACTCGCGATTCATGGAGTTCTTCAGCCACTACTGCACAAAGAACAGGATTTGTGTTTGGTCCAGTCGGTCAAATGCAACCGCGATCCTAGACCGGTGTCGGTTGTTAGGAAGGAGCCCTATCTTGTCGATTGGGGTCGAGTAATTCGATCGCTGAGCTCCAATGGATTCGTTTCCTTTGCAATTGGATTGCAGTCTGTTCTTGATGGAATTCTGGACGACAATGCGCACTTGGCTTCAGTGACGGTCTTTGCACCGGCTGATTTTGGGTTCTTAGCTTCAAACTCGGCAATTCTTGAAAGGATGGTCAGGTTCCACATCTTGCCCCACAGGTACACACATGAAGAACTCACGAGATTGCCCGACAAAGCGTCCCTTAGGACGCTTGTTCCTGGTAGGGATCTTGAGATTCGCAGAACAACTGCTTCTTGTAGTGCCAATACGAACCAAAGAACTAGAGTGGCCATTAACGGATTAGAGATTGGAGCACCGGAAATTTACAAATCGAGAGATTTCGTGATTCACCGAATATCTCGAGCATTGGAGATCGCAGAAGCAGAAAATTCAAGAAAGTGGTGATGAGAGTCGACTCCTGGCTGATTGCTATTGATGATAGAAATCAAATTAAATGGTGCTTACAGTACACCTGCTATACCAAGTTCATTTTGCTCGTGTACTGATTTTGGTTCTAACTTTGCATATGGTACTCTATGTGCTCACTTTCTTGAGTTGAACATAGCAACATCGCGTGGGTCTATTTGATGAAATGAAATACAAAGTTTGTACTTACCTAACGACCCATTTTCTGTTGATCCGACGCCAACGGAACTGAGGATAACAGGAACAGTGGGCAGAGACACTCCAACCTACTTTTAAACCAGTATGTGCATCTTTCAACTAATGAATTGGCTAACTCAATCACATTTTATGACAAGAAAACCTTAAATGAGAAAATTTGGGTCCAATCGACAGATCCGGCCATGTTTTTAGTACGATCTAAGGAACAGGTCGAACAAAATGAACTTGGTAGCAGCATTAAGTGGCCATTAAAACCAATATGTCATTTGGGAAAAAAAGGAACCAGTCAATAAATAAAAGAATGACCTCATAGTAGGGATCTGATTAAGAAAGTGAGATCTTGAATTCAAGAATAGTAATAAGTTTTGTACAGTCAACTGGAAAACAGAAAATGCAGGTCTGCAAAGATAAATAACAAACTCCAAAACTTCCATTAAGCTCTTCAAAAATCAACTCCAAGGTGAAAAGTGGATTCATCTGTAAGTATGATGCGCAAACTAATGACAGGATAAAGAAAAGTCCGTGATCCCTCCATGTGCAATTTCAAAAGAGAACATGTCTGATAGGAAGGCCAGGGAACAACATTTTTCAAGAAATAAAAATGCCGTCATGAAAGAGATCAACAGCTATCCTCACCGGCACGACACATCAAAGTACCAAGTAGTAAGGCCTAAACATTTTCCAGCATGAAAATCATCGGGTAACCACAGGAGCAAAAACTCATTCTAACCACTAAAACTGGACTTTTTCATCATCAACATTATGCGAGAAGGAAGAAGTCGAGAAGGTTAAACAAGTAATTTTTCAGGATCACATTGTTTGGCAAGCCAACGGCCAATGGGTATTCAAATGAGCAGCAGAAAAGGATATACAATTTCATCAGTTATTCATCCCTCTTGTTTCAATTCATCAGGATACACGTGAGTATTAACCTGCACAACTCTACTGAGCATGAAGGAAATCATTGGTGCAAAAGGAAAAAAAACAAAAATCACAGTTTTCTGATGGTACAAAGTTGCCCAGGATTATCACAGTTCTCCCGCAAAGTTCAATCATACATGAGAGCAGTTTGCAAAGGATCTGACAAGGACGGAACAAATTCTCACAATGAGGCTACAACCGTCTACGGAACATCAGTGCTCTCATGCATAATCCTCGAACGGCAAACAGGAAGTTTACTCTAACGAAGACAGTTACGAACCTCAAATAGTACGAACTCTAAATACACCATCTAATGTTAAGATTCCAGATCCAACAGAATCACCATACTCCAGAATTCAAACCAGTTCACCGAGACAGTCAGAAGCTGCTACACTCTAGAATTGAAACCAGTTCACCCAGACTGTCAGGAGTTGCTACACTTTGTGGTAGCTAAATAAGGTCACAAATGAGGAGCAAAAGCCCAAAAGAAAAACAAACAATAGGGTCGCCATTCAATCATGATGCTATCACTTGGATCAGTACTGTAGGCACACCTCATGTCATCCCATCGATCTTGCTAGTGTTTGAACCAACAGTTTCTCTCATTTTTTTGACATTCTTTGATTACCAGAGACAAACCATCCGCGAGTCTAGTGGCGGCAAGGTGCTTTCATCCCCACCAAAAAACTAACTTGTCCCAATTGAAGTGTTAATTGGCAACAGGTTTTCTACTTTGATGATTTTCCTTCTTAGTCTTATTAGTTAAGAGACTGTTTTCGCAAGGCCAATCAAGAAAGAGGGAAGATGAAAAAGATAGGAAACATGCCAAACAAATCATCTAAATCGATGGAGATGAAGAAGCATAAGCACAACAAGATGATCAGGAAGCAGCTTTAACTCTCATTATGATTCTAGTCATCTTCAATCCAATCAAAGTAACATTAACAGCACCCAAAAATCTCGACTTCCTAAACAAACCCACAATCTCCTCCACCTCCGCGTCACCGCACTCCTCCACGACCACCACACAAGCCCCGCCGACCCTCACCGTCCTCTCCATCTCCGCCCCGAACCGCGACGGGAACAGGGCCTCCTCCAGATGCCCGCTGAACGCCAAATCGAAGACCCCATCGAAGAAGGGCAGATTGTGCGGATCAGCGCGGCTTACCAGGGGCGGCGAGTCGATCAATTCGACCCCGGTGACGTCGGCAACGCCCGACTCGGACAGCGCCGCGACCTCGTGGCCGGCCCCGGCGGAGACGCAGAGGACCTTGGAGTGGTTGCGGAGGAGGCCCAGATCGCGGATCGAGTCGAAGAAGCGCCGGTAGGAGAGGACCTGGCCGCGGAAGGCGCGGGAGGACCAGAGGCGCCGGTTCTTCTTGTCGAGGGGGAGGAACTCGCGGCGGGCGGAGTCGCAGGAGGACCTGGGGAAGCGGTGGCGGGCGGCGGCGGCGGCGGCGGGGGGGAGGCAGGTCTGTGGGGTGCGGAGGAATAGGAGGAGGAGGGTGAAGGTGGCGACGGCGACGGAGGCGACGGAGAGCTTGTTGAGGAACGCCTGGACGTGCCGGTCCATCATTCTCAGTGGGGAATGATGCTGCAGCTGAGCTGTTCGTGGAAATGCGCCTTCATGCGAACCCAATTTTTAGTCGCTTTTAATTTTGGGTTAATGCCACGAAAAACCCTAAACTAGTACATTTGTGACACATTTACCCCAAATTATTTTTTTTACCATAAAAAACCACAAACTGGTACACCTGTGACAATTTTACCCCGAACTATTTTTTTGACCATAAAAAACCCAAAATCAGTATATACGTGACAATTTTACCTGACCTCTACAAAAACCCAACCAGACGTATGTGACAATTTTACCTCGAATTAAAATTTTAATATTATCTTTTATTTTTTTCGAATTTTTTATTTTTTTTTTTTTTCCTTTTATTTTTTTTTTCTTTATCTTCAACCTCTGGCCGGTCGCCGGTCGCCGGTCCGGCGACCGGCTAGAGGCGGATGCCGGCAAGGGCCACCCTCGCCGGTATCGGGCGAGGGCCATCCTCGCCAGATCCGGCGAGGGCGACCCTCGCCGGTATCGGGCGAGGGCCGTCCTCGCCCTCGCCGGTATCGGGCGAGGGCCGTCCTCGCCTGCGTCGGGCGAGGACCGCCCTCGTCTGCGTCGGGCGAGGGCGGCCCTCGCCGGCGTCGGCGAGGGCCGTCCTCGCCCGACGCCGGCGAGGGTCACCCTTGCCGAGTCGAGCGAGGGCGGTCCTCGCCGAGATCCGGCGAGGCGGTCCTCGCCGATCCGGCGAGGGCCACCGTCGCCGTACGGGCGAGGGCCGCCCTTGTCTCGCCGGCGAGGGCGGCCTTCACCGGCGTCGGGCGAGGGCCGTCCTCGCTCGACGCCGGCGAGGGTGACCCTTGCCGAGTCGAGCGAGGGCGGTCCTCGCCAGCGGCTGCCGAGGGCGGCCCTCGCCGGCTTCCGCCTCTGGCCTGTCGCCGGACCGGCGACCGGCCAGAGGTTGAAGTGAAGAAAAAAAAAAGAAAAGTAAAGAAAAGAAAAAAGAAAAAATTCAAAAAAATAAAAAAATAATATTAAAAATTAGTTTGGGTAAAATTGTCACATGTGTACCAGTTTAGGGTTTTTTGTGGTATGTTTGGGGTAAAATTGTCACAGGTGTACCAGTTTGGGGTTTTTTATGGTCAAAAAAATAGTTTGGGGTAAATGTGTCACAAGTGTACCAGTTTAGGGTTTTTCGTGGTATTAACCCTTTAATTTTTCAGCAATTATATTAAGTACTTTGAATTTTAAATCTCTCTCTCTATAAGAGCCCAAATACTTTATAATTAGGGTTAATATTACAAAAAATCCCAAACCGGTACACTTGTGATAAATTTAAGCTTCGTTAAATTGGATTAATACCACGAAAAACTACAAATTGATAAACCTGTGACAAACATATGGATAAAACCCCAAACTGGTATACCCGTCAGTTGTCACGTTTTATCAAACTCAGCAATTTGACAATAAAATTTAACGGAGGATAAATTTGTCACATGTATACCAGTTTAGGTTTTTTCGTGGTATTAACCTTTATAATTATTACGTTGACAAGATCTCGATCATGTGCGTGATTGCTTTCGTGCTCTTTATAGTTTTTGCAATTAATATTGACATTCGAAAAATGTATATAGGGAATGTGAACAATCAAATCGAGTAATGCGTGAATCGTTAAATATTTTCACACAATAAATTGAAATTTGGAACTCACAAAAAGACATTATGAAATAAGAGGGTCGCAGCCATGAGCTCTTGCCCAAAATATGATTAGCCGAGAATTGTGAGTAGTTATCATATTTGGAAATAGTGGAAACGCGGCATGCATTTCTCTAACCGTTTAGACTGTTTTTTTATGGGTGATAAGAGTTGGATTACAGTAATAGATTTCAATAAAATACTAAAGGATAGGATAATCGAAGATATTTTCGTAGACATGGTGAACACCAAATTCAAAAATTTTACTTTATTATTGATGTTGATATTTTATAATATTTTTGCCTTGTCATTTTCATTTAGAAGGGGGAAAAAAGCAGTCCCATTTGATAACCCCTTACTCTTCGTGGGAAAAGAGATATATGAACAAATTTTGAGACTTCAAATTTAATTTGTGCTATTGATTGATTCTATCTATACTATACTATACTATATATAAAATCAATTTTCAAATCAACCCATTCATCGTTGTTCATGCACCATCCGCACGCGAAAAAAGCTAATAGATAGATTAAAGCAAATTCACAAGCAATGTTAATCGGGACAAATGTGATTATCATCACATATTTCTGATTAATGGATAAAATTCTAATTTAAAAGTAACAAAAGTTGTTCTAATGGATAGATAAAGAACAGCGCGGGCATGCTTATATGTTAGTATAAGATGTGATGCAACTGAAAAAAGACGAAACATGTATTAAACATATGTATTAATGATAATATTAAGGGTTAATACCACGAAAAATCCCAAACTGATACGCTTATGACAAATTTATCCCAAACTAATTTTTTGACCACCAAAAACTAAAAACTGATACATCTATGATAATTTTACCCTCCATTAGTTTCCGTTAAATCTTACCGTCAAATTTCTGAGTTAGATGACACGTGGCAGTTGACGGATGTACCAGTTTGGGATTTTAACGGAAGCGTACCAGTTTGTGGTTTTTCGTGGTATTAATCTAATTTAGCGGAAGGTAAATTTATCACAAATGTACTAATTTTGGGTTTTTTGTGGTCAAAAAATTAGTTTTGGGTAAATTTGTCATATGTGTACCAGTTTGGGGTTTTTCATGGTTTAACCATAATATTGTATAGTTTTGCAGAAGACTGTATATATATATATATATTTTTTTCCTTATCAATTTTTTTCAATTTTAAGCTCAAATATCCGAATGTGTAGAAAAAAGAAGACAGAAGTTGAACTGAAATTAAAGTTGATGAACTTTGTTCTTATCTATATATTTAAAATATTAAATTAAACGAATTTCTCTTTTCAATGTAACTTCGTTGGGACTGTTATTTAATTATATGAATATAGTGAGTTATGTGTAGAGCATATGTATTCAGTTTGTTCCACTTTTGTATATTTCTCGCTATGCGGCTTTTCCTTATTTTCAATTTAAAGTTGTATTTAATTTATTCCATTCTTTCCTTGGTTAAAGAGATTTTGCTGAATGAAAAGTTTATATCGTTCCATAAGATTGTATACAAGTAAGTCCGCAATATGAAATAATAACAGAAAACAATGTAACAAATTTGCAAATTTCCCATTGAAATAAAGAATTTCTCTGATTCTTTTCCATCAGAGATGAAAAGAAGGGCTTTGATGGTGCAATCTTTGATCGCAGGAACTCTGAATTTTTTTTTTAATGCGATGCGAGAAACTATCTCAAATCAAATCATAATATTTTTTGTTCTTCACGTTAGTACAATTAAAGCGTCCTAGTGACTTGTTATCGAATTTGATTGCATGATCTGTGATTCCTTTTCGTGAACTTGAGGACCTTAAAAGCTTGATCTCAAATTGAAGATGGTCGAGATCTTGATGACCCTATCATTTGGTGAGGTTTTGATGATCAAAATTTTGATTGAGGTCTTGATAGCCCAAATCATTCTACGAAGTCCATTGATTTTCAAGAACGTCCCGACAACAACTCTACAAAATTCAGGGTTTTCGTCTGTCCATCCAAAAATGAATAGAGAAGATGAGAATGGACTTTGATCTTCGCGATTGGTCCGATTTATTAAGTTTAAGATTGTCTATCCACAATTTGAATTTTGACCAACATTTACTTTGATTTAAACACCTATCAAATCTATTTTAAATCCAATATGTATAAATGCTAATTCGATCTACCTAATCCAATCGATCAATATGGCCGTCCAAGTTTTTAAATGCATTCCATTTTCTAACACTTAAATGAAAACTTAGAGATGATATAGTATTGTTGAAAACACTTTCGCTAGTATATTGTGTTTTTTGAGTTCGAACTCAATAAGACATATAATCTTCATATCCTTTCTCTCTATCGATTTCTTAAAACTTAAATCAAATAAGAGATAGAAACTAGCATATGGCAAATCACTAATCCAAAAGTAATTATGCCATGTGTCTTGCCGCATGGCATTTACAGAATGAAAGCGGAGTGTCACGTGAAGAGTACATTAGTGAATATCCCGTCATCTTCGCTTTAACTATGTAAAATAAATGTATCTTACTCCAAAAGTAATTACGTAGATATGACTTTTCAAGGTAAATTGTATCTTCGATCATCTTCTCATTCTTTAAACTCTTTATATAATTTTCTATTTTTATCTTTCACCCCACACGCACGCACTTACTTAGGGTTTGTCTTGGTAATTATGTTGTTGCGAAGGGACGGGAGCACGAACATCCGACAAACTGAAAAAACAAGTAGTCGGCTGTTAATTTATGTGCATATCTTAGGCTTGTCATGTCGAATTTAGGTCTAATTCAAACACGACTTATATTTTTCCAGCTCATTTGCAGTTATTAAAACTGTACTATTGATTTGAAACCCAAACATGCTATATATATGTATATTAAATGATTAACACTATATGACACATTTAATACATTTTAGATTTATACTCCTATATAAATTTTCACAGTCGTATATTAGTGTGTTCAAATGTATATTAATATATTGTGTGTCAACACAAATAATATGTTGACTTACTTAATCAAACGTGTCTATGCATGTCGTTAACGGAATGAAAGAGTCGACTCACAAAAAACAAGTTTATGAATTGTGTAGAGACGGGTAGACTTGTTTGTGACACGAACATATGATTAAATCTAACCTGATCATGCTTAATTCCATGTTATATAGCTAGGTCGTGTCGAAAAGTGCCAGCAAAGCTGATTTTTACCGTAAAAATCCAAGAACAAAGCTCTTATCGCTCTCTCACTCTCTCACTCTCGCATGCCAAACTAGTAAATGCACCTTTTTTTAATTCAAGTACTCCAATGTTAATTGATATGCATATCACGTGGATAATATCTGATTGGCGGGTTATGCCCTAATGCACAATTTATTTTCTTTCCAATAAGAGCTTTTTTGCCGTGTAAAAACATGGTGAGAAATCAATTACACAAGTCAAGTGATGTTTTTTAATTTGTAGGTTTGATTTAATTATCAAGACTCAAAATCTAGAACATCTTTTTTTTTTTTTGGCTCAACCAAAATCTAGAACATCCATAGTCATCAAAAGATTGTCCTCTTTTTACTTCATTCGATTGGCGTACAGAATATATTTCCTGTCCCTACATTTTTCACGTTATCCCTAAGATACGTATACGTTGGTAAACCTTACTATATCAAAGAACTGCACACGGACATGCTTGCGTCCTCTAGCTTCTTTCAGAGTTCGAGACGAACTGAATATATAATCTAGTGGCCGTTGCTAAGAGCATCATCATCGTCATCACTCATTGAAAAGTTCAAACCCTAGCATAACCATCTCGCGACATTATCTCAACACTAGTATAACACAAACACTCCACACAGACACATGCTCCATCACGTTTCACGACCATGGAGACCAGATCGGCCAAGAGAAGAAGGCTCTCGCTTCTTCAAGACGGGACTGGAGATCACGGTGCATCCTCAGGTCTGCTGACTCGTCGTCGTCAGATCAGCGATCTTCCTGACGATGTGCTTTGCCACATCTTATCGTTCTTGCCCATCAAGTCTGTCGCGAGGACAAGCCTTGTGTCAAAACGTTGGGCGGCTCTCTGGCGCTCCTTGCCGGATCTCGACTTCACGACCATTGAATCATCAGACCGAGTCATCTCCGCCATCGAGAAACTGATCATGTCCCATGGCCTGAAGCTCGAGTTCCCTCAAGGGTTCCTGAAGTTCCTCTACATCGTCAACCCAGAGCAGGATTTCATCAGGCAGGTCCTGAAACACCGCAGCCGATCAACACAGCCCGGGGATGGCCTGAGGCTCCTTCGGTTCTGTGCATTCCTGAGCTTCACACGCCTGAACAACCTGATGCGCGATGCCTTCAGGCACAAGGTGAATGCCCTCGACATTGAGGTGGCGACCAAGGACTTCTTCAATCTGCCAAAGCGCGTCGTGACGAGTGAGCACCTGCAGGCCTTCAGGTTTGTGTCACGGTTCCCGGGGTTCCGGTTGCCACCGCTATCGACGATGAAGAATGGTTTCCGGTCCCTGCGGAAGTTGCACCTCTCGGGGGTGATCCTAAATAACCAACCCTTTCTCTTGGATTTGTTCACGGAGTCCTCATTCCCGGCGCTCCAGAAGTTGAGCCTTTCGAAGTGTTTCGGATTAGAGAAGATCAGTATAAAGTGTGGGGCTTTGGAGAGTGTAGTCGTAAAGAATTGTTCCAAGATGAATTTCTTGGAAGTTCGCTGTCCAAAGTTGGAGAGATTAAGAGTGTCGGGCTGTTTTCCCAGAGGAAGGCATAAGAGCGTGTTGAACATCTATGCACCTCGACTAGACGTTCTTGATTGGGAAGGCAGCGATGTTCCTGACCATTGTTGCTTGCATAACTCAAGTCCCACTGTTAGGGTTTCCCTTGGTTTTTTGAACATCAAGGTTGAGGACATTCATGAAAAGCCGGCCAGGAGTTTATTGAGATTCTTATCCGGGATCTCTCATGCTCGGTCCTTGCGAATGGACTCGCTATCCATCAAGGTTGGTCCTCTCTCTGTGCATAGGCATTTCTCGAGTGTGAGGGTCGACTGAGTTAGTGGAAAGAAGTTTATAGGATGAGGAGATGGACAGCGTTGTCTATAATTAGAATCCATTCTTTGTTTCATCAACTACTAATTTGTGATTAGGGTCTAAGTAGTTGCATTATGAGTAGCTTTAATGCACTTTATGGTGTTGCGGCGCACACGCAACTGTTGCAGATTCTAGGAAACATGGACGGCTTGGAAGTTCTGCAACCATTCAAAAACCTTGCACATTTGGAGCTTTCTACCTTTACCGGAAGAGTGTATATCCCACCGCTAGTTTCTCTGTTCATGAATGCTTCATTCGTGGAATGTCTCCATATCAACTTGGTTCCAGACCACAACACGCACAAGAATGTTGGTACCATTTGCTCACACCTGACGATTAATGATTGTTCCTGCAGTGTTGGACTTTGGGCAGAATTTTGTCCTATGATGATTATATTGTTCTTCGACTAAACTCTGTAATTTACCCCTTATTTCAGCAGTTGAATGGAAACTCAGCACACTTGTGGGACGTGTCTGTCTCCGAGGAAGAGAAGCAGTGGGAAATCCGCAGAAAAGCCATAGGATCCTTCCTTGATCACCTGAAGGTTGGGAAGATAACGGGGCTCTTGGACTGCGAGGAGGAAGTGAGCCTCACAAAGTTCCTGCTCAGGCACGGGAAGTCCTTGAACAAGATGATCCTGTGCTTGGAGGCCAGGAAGGTTAAAGATTCTACTCTCAAACAAATCAGATCCCGTATCGTGGAATTCTCCAAGGCAGCTTCTAATGCTAAAATTTCCTTTTGTTAGGTGTCCTTATGGATTATTTCAGGTTCGCTTGGTCCCCTTTGTATAACAGATGACTCATTCAAATTTCACTTTAGAATGCTATTTTTTCGAGTGACGGAAAAGATATGAATCAATGAAGCATATCGATCAAGATAATTGCATTTGAGACTCGCTAAGCACTCTTTTTCGGCAATTAAAACCAGGTGCTATCAGTTCTATAGTCAATTTTGCAAGGGAAAGTCGAGTTAAAGCTTCATAATCTTCTTATGAGAAATCAGCCATTTGGCAAGGATTGTTATGGTGAGGTCCCAATGCAAGTCTTTTGCCCGAATTGAGTCTGATTTGTAGTCTTATCAAGCAGCAACCGGTCGCCTCCGGCTTCATTTAGAACCACCAGCTGCTCTATGTTAATGTATAAAAAGATTAATCTGATCTGGGGAAAGGGAAAACAGATGGTTCACAAGATTTTGCCATTTATGCAGAATTGTCTCCATACTTAGGCCCCTGCTGGCAGTTTTCACCGAGAAGCAGCGGTAGGAGCTATCAATCTACTTCTAATTCCAACTGTCATATGCTCTGCTCCCACGGTAATACGAGCATAGTTGAGGACGAAGTCTAATTAAATGATTATATCAAAATTTCCAATTAATTTGTGTACTAGTATTGTGTATTAAAACAAACAAATCATTGATATTTTTGTTGTTAATATTATTTTCCTATATAAATAGATTATTTTCACGTTGCCTTTTCCTAGTTAGATTGTTATTTGGATGACTCAACTTGTCTGCCATTTAGACATAATGAGGATGATGCTCAGTAGCGAATAAACTGTAATCTGTCCCTAAATAAATCATAGTTTTTATCCAATGATAATTTGAATCTATTCCCGCACTTATATATGAAATAGTTTAAGATATAGGAAACAACATATCCATTACTGAGATATATTTAAACTGAACATATCATTTTAATGTTGCTACTAGTTTTATCTGGTTGTTTTGATTAAACGAGTGCAATGATGACGCAATTCTCTATTGTTTTGTAAAGTAGGATTTCTTTCCCTTGAGGAGAACATTCGCAAAAGTGTGCTATGCAGCGGATTTTCAAGGGAAACTGACATACACTAATATGGAATATACAGATCTTTAACAGCTAACAGTAGCATCTCGGTGATAACTATAGTGGGGTAGATTTTGAGTTTGATGAGATGACATTACCCCAAAAGGAAATTGATTTTACAACTCCATTGCAGACGAAGGAACTTATTCTTAGGAATGAAAAGTACAGCAAATGACAAGAAAAGAATCTGCTACGGTGACCAAGAAGCTGATTCAGGATGTTAGTATTGCAGAGTCTTTAGGCCGAGGAGGAACATCAGCAATCAACATAGGGTGAACCGTATTTTGCCAGAGGAGAAAGGAATAGCACGGGGCAAAAATTTGAGGCATTCCTAGTTAAACAAAGTGCCTGATGCCTAAAGCTCTTGACATCTAAGATGTGGGATAGATTCCAGGAAGATCCAATGTCACCGGCCTTGTTCCAGAGAAGTTGATAATGCGGCAATCGACTCTGGTTTGCTGGAAGAAGAAGCTGTCGTAGAAAAGCCTATCCTAACTGCAAAAGCCGGTTTTTTCGGAACTGGAAGAGTCGCACTTTCACTACCGAGCATGAAAACTGCATCTGACATGGTGGGACGATCACTCGGGTCTTCTTGCACACATAAAAGCGCGACGTTTATGCACTTCAAAACTTGATCTCTTTTGTAAGTTTCGTACAGCACTCGATCCATCAAGTCCAATGCATTATTGTCATTCCATAATTTCCATGCCTGCACAATTGAAGGTTCGGTACGTTTAGAGAAAAGGGCGACAGGAAGTGGATATAATAGAAGAAAGGGACAGCAAATGGACTATACTCACGTGAGAGAGAAGGCTCATTATTCCTCCGGACTGATAAAAGCCTGTGTTACGTTTCCCGCTAATAATCTCCAGTACGACGACACCAAAGCTAAAAACATCGGACTTGAATGAGAAAAAACCGTCCAAAGCATATTCGGGAGACATGTATCCACTGCATTGGAGCATAATAAGTCAATTAAGCCACAGTCGGAATACTAAGTTTCACCGCAGATATTAATAGGTGATAACGCACTGAGTGCCTTGTATAGTGTCCAACGAATTCTTTATTTGGACGGAAATAAATGGTGTGCGCATGCATAAGAAACTTACTATGTTCCAATCACCCTCTGCGTGCTTGCTTCAATTTGTTTTGCCTCAAATATCCGTGCCAGACCAAAGTCGGAAATTTTGGGAGTCATCTCCTCATCGAGCAAAACGTTGCTCGTCTTGAGATCTCTGTGAATGATTCTCAGCCTAGAATCTTGGTGAAGATAGAGCATTCCTCGTGCAATTCCCAACATTATCTCAAAGCGTATCTCCCAAGTTAGCAACCAACACCTTGTTCGATCTGGCAAGGTTCCAATTTTTGTTTGTGACGGCAGCAAATTCTTTAATCTAGCTCTGTGAGACTAACTTACGGAAACAGGGACACGAAATAAGGTGCTTACCGAATATGAATGAATCTAAGCTTTTGTTGGGCATGTATTCATATAGTAATATCTTTTCATCTCCTTTGACGCAATATCCTACTAATCTGACGAGATTTCGATGCTGTAGTTTGGCAATCAAGACAACTTCATTCTTAAATTCCTCCAAGCCCTGTCCTGAGCCACTCGATAGCCTCTTCACTGCAATTTCCTGCCCTCCTGGAAAAGTAGCCTGAAACAAACTTAAGGAACGGATTACTTCATCACCGTGACCTGGTCAAGAGGCCCATATGGTAGAAGAAGAAAACATTTTATTGACCTTGTAAACAGGCCCGAACCCGCCTCTTCCAAGTTTGTTCTCATCCGAGAAATTATTCGTCGCTTGTAGAATAATTTCTAAATCAAAAAATGGCACGTCTATGCCTTTCTTATCATCCTCCTCGAACTGTTGTGAATCCATCCACATTTTGATCCGTTTCTCACTGTCGTATAGTCGAAAATCAGGATTTTCCTGAGTCCTTTCCCTGCTCCCTGAAGTGCCAGCTCTAGTTACTAATTGTTTGCTATCTTTTTATCGTATATCTAATAATGACAGATAAAAAGTAGTAAGTATTTGATTTGTGATTACCTTGAGTACTACCATGCTGCCTTCTCATGTAATATAAGCCACCGAATACGAGGATGAAAATTGCAGCACCGACAGGAGCAACTATATATACTGTTTTCACTTTCTGTCTTTTCTGCGATGATCTGTAATTACCTGCTGCTAGACAAGAAAAGAAAATATAACTCCTATATTTTCGACAGAAGTGAACGAATAATTGTAGACACAGCGACTCGCTAATTTAATAAAAGGACAGATGTGAGGACTTCATGTTGCATGGTCACAATCGCTCTTACAGTCGAGGAAAAAGAGCAAGTTTAGTTGGTGCAAGTCCAGGACTCTGTCATTGCATTGCGTGCGTACACCATGCTTGGGATAGTAACCGTAAAGGCAGATGCTATTGACTCCTTGACAGGGTCAACATCTCGGGAATCTCGGGCAGGAGACCAACTATAGCTGAATCTGTTCTAGTTTGGAGCTCTTCTGGCTCACCTACTATAAATTCCGGATTAACGCTGAAAATATAGAGGTCCACTTTATGGAATTTGTCAGTCTGCTTCCAGGAGGAGCAAATCATCCTAGCAGTACTCTAAATGATAGACCATGGAGATAGAAAGTATTGATTTGGGGGCACGACAGAATCTACTCTTATGGTGACCTTTAAATCGTAATGGCTACATTTCCTTCTAATCTGTTATTCATGAATACAGTAGCTAAAGTTGTGGGTCAATTCGCAAGACCAACATTCTCACCCAGAGAACAATTGACGCTGAAAGAATTCCAACTGAATCCTGAGTCGCAGAGGCACTTTGTTATTCCATCTGATGCATTCCTGCAAGTTGCATGTGGCCAATCGCAGTCTTTGGACGTATTGCAAAGTGGCTCTGTCGGATTGCTCCACTCAATTTTCATTTCGCTCTTTCCGACACTTCCCGAAGAGTCTCCTGTGCTGAATATATTCTGTCCTCCAAAACACTCGCCACTCACATTAAATGGCGAGGACTGGTTAAGCTGCTGATTGATTTCCGTCAGACTGCTACTTTTGCAGTCGAATGCTTCCTCGAATTGGATGGTAAATGTTCTAGTTTCTGGAGTGATGCTAGTGACTCTGTAGCTAACTTTGTCCCGTTCAAAGTAAAGCCGCGCCTGTTCATTGTTGCAGCGAAATCCAGAATATAGCTGGTCGCCACAGCTCTGTCCCATGCTTAGAGGGTAGGGGACTAAGAGAGTGCCACAAGTTCCACAGCTCCTGCTAGTAGATTCTACGAAAGTCAACATTATAAAAACATCAGCATCAATGCATATGCACATTCACCTGCAATTGGACTCTAATCATAAATAATTCTTATATCTGAAATTGGGATAGCATCATTTTTTGCCATTTGCAGGTGGACTGGAACACTTGGTTGGAAGACGCTTGCACTTAAAATAACATGTAGGTGCACAAAATATGATCAACGTTTCTAACTTCATCCAAGAAGGCAAACCACCACCGAAGTTAGTTAAATCGAAGAAGTCACAGCACAAGTCAGAAGGCCACAAACACAAATGATCTTGGAAAGGAAAAAAGGTTAGGCAAAAAGGAAATTAACCTATGTCTGAAAGTGGCACTCGGACATAGAGGTCATGGCCGTCTGTGGCAGACTCCTGAATACTGTTGAGTTCGTCCGACCATATATAGCACGTCGAGGTGCCGTTCTGTGCCCGGCTTTGACCCTCCTTGAATGAGTAAGCCTGGCAACTGGAGGCATTGAGACACTTTTGCCTGCATTGCGTCTCATTGACTGCCGGGACATGCATGTCTGGCCTCCCGGCCTTCATCATCGTCAGATTCAAGAAATGATCGGAGCTGTTGTTGCTGTTCTTCCCACAGCATTTCGACGACTTCCTGTGGCATCCGCTAAAGTAGGACCCCAAGGTTTGATTATCCGATTCTGCCGGCTTGAAACCTGGCAAGCACTTGCACATGGTCTCGCGGACATTCTCAACGTTGCAGCTCCCGAACTTGCCACATGCATTGAACACGCTGCACAAGCCCGTTGGCTCGGACAGGACCGGCATCGTCGAGTTTCCCAGCCTGAAGTACTGTATCTGGCCATTGTGTCTCATGACCAACCGGGTGTTGTTGTAGTCAGGCAGGGTTATGTTTTCGTAGACCGAGCTCGGACTAGTCCCGGCTGGCAGGGAAGCAGCGGTTGTTCTATTGAAGAGCAAAAAATAGATCTCATTGTATCTCTCATCGGCTTGTCCCAACTTGTCATAGCCCACACTTTTCCAGAAAGGAGACCCGTCCCCGATAACTTGGTACTCCCTGGTGCCGCTTTTTTGATCCCTCTGGAACGTGAACCTCCCCGGTTTCGGGTCATCCTTGCTTGCCCAAGAAGTCAACTTGAAGTCATCGGTCATCAGCATCCCCGGCAGGAACGTGTCGGTCGGGTAATTGAAGCTCTGCCATACAATTCTCTCACCTTCGATCAGCACCAGATTCCCTGAATCAAGAAGCTTTGCTAACCGGGTTGAAGAGCTTGAAAGATTAGTTAACCAGATCGCTTGTTTTTCGTTCGACACCTTCAGGTTGCCGTCCACAAGGCTGAATGACGCTGTATGGCGGTCGATCTGGTTGTCCCGGTTCGCGACCCAGACGACGACTTGAGGGTCTGACCTGTAATACCATATTCCGACAAAGCAGTCGAAGTTCCCTTTCGGGGGGAAGAAGCCAAGCTCGAACCGCTCACCGGCAGACACGAGAGTGTCTCCTCTCGAGTACATGATCCCGCCTCCTGTTGTTATGGTATCTCTGCTCGAGCAAAACGGAAGTAACATCACAGACAAGAGCAAGCACGTAAAGTTATTGGAGCGTCGCATGGTAAGAACTCGAGTTCTTGAAATGGCGACGAGGTTAATGTCTCTTTGATTTTTGGTCGCCATTGTTCGACCATTCTCTGCGATAATACCTCATCGTCATCATCATTCGTCGTAAGGTTGTCTGGATTGTTTCTCTCTTTTCTTTCCTTCTCGGGAATATCACGTTTCGTTGTGTTTGATGAATTATTGAAATCATTTTCGTCCTTTTTGCCAATCGAAGAAAAAGGAGTCCCACACAGAACGTTGACCAAGTCAGAAAAGAAATATCCCATAGGCTCGTCTAAAAGAAATGGGAAAATTACACAAACCGCCCCTGAATTTTGCTCAATATGTAACGTGATCCCTGAACTTTCAATTTATTTAATACAGTCCCTAAACTTTAATCGAATATGCAATATGATTCATGAACTTTTAATTTGCTAAATGTCGTCCCTGAATTTTTTATACATGTTCAATTTAGTCTCTAAACTCTATGAAAATGTTCAATGTAGTTCTTTCATTAATTTAAGTTTAAGGACAGCAATAAATATATATAAAAAATCCAGAGACCATAAAGAATCACATTGAATATTAAGATAAAGTTCAAAGATTATTCACTGCAATAATACTTGTCTGGATTGTCTTTCTTTGTTCTTTCTTTTTCAGGAATAACACGTTTTGTTGCATTTGACGAATTGTTGAAATCATTTTCGTCTTTTTTTGCCAATCAGAGGAAAAGAATTTCCACACGCACAAAGTTGACTAAGTCAGAAAAGAAATACCATAGGTTCGTCTAAAAGAAAATGTTTTCGTGAAATTAAGTCCTTATCACACTAGAGAGAGAGATGGCTAATTGAGGTATGATGATCCTTACTCTACTTCTCTCCTTCAGTCGTGCTCCTCTCTTTAAGAGTGATTGGTTCCCAGACCGGTCCAATCCCACTCAAAAACCAGAAACCTGACCAGTAGGACCAATTCCTATTTTCTGGAACCAGTCAGTCTAGTCCGGTTTCGGGTGGTCCAATGTGTGTATGTGTGTATGCTCATTGTGAAATCTCTTGCGAGTGATCGTCTGACGGGGAGGGAAGCTCGTCCTCATCCGACTAGCCATCGTCTTCTTCCGATGATGACGAACATGTGTCATCGTTGTTGTCATTGTCGAAGTTGGCGACAAGAGGTTGCTAAGCCACAAGAGGAGTGTTTTTCAGGAATCTGAGGGCCGATGGCTTGACGACTTGGTGCATTAGGGTGCCGGAGCAAGCGAGCGTCACGAGGAAGATGGCTCTCCATTTGCAGAGTTCAAAGGCTTGCGAAATGAATGCTTCCTGAGACCACGATCGAGATAAAATTTGAGAAAGAAAAGGTGGGTTTTGCAAAAGATTCATCAGCTGAAAATGCGAGGCTTCGAGGAGGAGAAAAAAATGAAGTTTTTTTTTTTGCTGGTTTAAGTTGATAGTGTTGTTCTTTAAGAAATTTAAAAAAAATAAAAAAAAATAATCGGTCCGGTCTTGTCGGTTTGATTCCCATTCCGGAACCGAGAACCGGAGCAGTAATCACCGGTTCCAATTTTATGGAACCGAAAACCGGACCTGCCCCCCCTTGGAATACCCAGAACCAGGCGGTTCGGTCCAGTATGGGCAGTTCCCGATTCGAGCGGTCCTCTACGCTCATCCCTACCTCTCTTGGCGAAATATGGACCTCCTCAAAGTCATAGATAATGATATTTATGCCGTGGCCGGAAAACATTTTTCAGAAATGTAACATTTTTCGTAAAATAAACTGTGCTTTAAAGTCAACAAATCAATAATGGACATACTCAATTTAAAATAGGCAAATAATATGATAGGTCTCGACCTACCTAATTTTACATTGGTGCTACGATAAAAAATTGTCACATAATAAATCTTGTTGAAATTTTTCCAAATTAAAAAATTACACTCATCCTTTCATCAACTCCTGATCCACGCTCTACATCTCAATATTTTGCCAACGTAGGAGCAATCACGCATCGCCACCATTGCCAAACCAATCGACATTACCATGTCACCGTGCAGCCGCTGTCCACCTTCCCCCACCTTTGGCTCTACCTCTCTTGCGGTTGGCCAAGGGGCGACTCTCTCTTCCTCCACACAAACGCGTGCACGGTGGCAACTAAACCTTTTTGGATAAGCGTCTACATGGACAAGATTAGCCGTTTTCTATTGGACGCTTGGGGAAAATGATTTCCTCTCTCGAGAAAAGAGAAATCGTTTTTGTCAATATTGAGTGTGAGTTTTCATATATCTTAAACAATTTTTCATTGATTCATCCGTTTTCAATAACCAAACACACGCAAAAGAAGGAATATAAATCTTAATAAATCATTTTCAGCTACACAAACACACCCTAGTATTTATCTCTTAAGGTAAACAGAGAGTACACTCTCATCTTTGAGCATGTCCGTTGAAATAGGAGGGAGTTAAGACGACTATCAACCCCATATAATTAGCTGTAAAGCAGACACTAATCACCGGATTTAGTAGAGACTTTAGATTAGAGGCCTGAAAGTCCTTTCAATCTTCGTTTGCTTCACGGAAAGGGGGGGTGCAGTGAGAAATTGGAAACTCACAACGACTAAATCTATGGTTGTGGCTATTAATCAGTTGTCTTTTCTTTCCTCCTCGTCAACCCTTTCGTTCTTTCTTTCTTTTCTTACCACCAATAACAAAGTATCCTTGATTTGTATCTCGTTCTATTACAGGGAAGAGCACTATTATCTTCATTTCTCCCTCTACCCCTCTCTCTCTCTCTCTCCAAAGATATCTACAAAGTATGTATAAGCGAACGTAGTTTCGTCTGTACGATGTTATGGTGCGGGCTTGGCTGCTTTTCTCTGTCTAACGAAGGTCGTCTGGGGTCCTTGTCATACACAGGCCTTTGCAAAAGACTTGTCGGGTACGAGCCCAATGACCTAGTAACGTCGTCAACACGTCCGCATCCACGTGGTGTTGACCTTAGAGCTAGAAATGTTTAGCTGAAAATAAATAAGAGCTAGTTGTCTGATTCACAACCGAAGTTCTTAATTGCAGTGATAAGGACGGATCGGGTCGGAGCTCGAAAATAGTTCCATCCAAATTGATATATTTAATTCGACTAAAAAAAATTGACATATTTAATCCGTTTTGATTCAAACTTAAATGCAATACAAATCTAATGACTCATACCCAATTTATACCCAACCCAATTCATATTACTAATACACTTTCATATTTAACTCAATCTAAAAAAAATTATCCCTAGACTAAGGTGAGAGATCGAGTAAGGACAGGAGAAAGAGAGTCATAGAGATGAGTTAAGTTTAAGAAAATTGTGAACCCATTTAGTATCATTATAAACTCATTTATGACTCATTTACTGAATATAACTAATCCACATAACAACTCATCCTATTAAATATAGGTTAAAAATGGATCTTTGTTCCAATTTGATAGGTATAGTCACAAGAAAAGATCTTTAGACGTGTTCCATTAAACTCAGTTAACCATAATCCATGTGATCAAATGGACCTTCATTTTTAATTTGACCAAAGGAAAAGGCTATCGCGTAGCTTGTTCCTCCTATCTCTCTAGCCGTATAATGAGACTACTTCATAGAGTGTCCATTAACCGAACAGGTTCCCGCACAAATCTTCAAAATCTAAGTATAAAGTAAAATGTTTTGTATTATATGTCACCAACATCACCTTTAGCAATTGCGATGCCCGCATTATAATTCAAAATCCACCCGACTAATAACGCGGAATACTTTCTTCATAGGCATGTTGGTGAAGGTGAAGTCCTCCGATGGCCGGTGGAAGAATACTAAAAGAAAAAAGCTTGAATTATTTGTCAAGTGTCATTGTAATTAACTAAGTTCATTGAGCAGGTTAAAGTCCAGAGCCTCTTGATTTAGCGATAGGAAAAACTATCTTAGTATATCCATTTCGGATCAGCATATAATGATAGGTTTAATTAAGCTTGTGAGATGAGTTAAATAATTGTGATGGGAAAAGAAAAGAAAAGATAATTAGTTGAGAGGATGACAATTTTTTGTCCAATTTACCAGGAAATTATTGCATTTGAACCACACTTTTTTTTTTTTTGTAACCGAGGTGTCCGGCCAGCTTGCGCGCACCTCGACTATTTCTCGGGGGAGACTAGCACAGCAACCCACTGCCATGACCCCCCACTTAAATCACAAGTGCTCAGCTGGGGAATCGAACCTGAGACCAGTGCGCCTAATTACATAATCCCAAGTACGCCTTAATCAACTGAGCTACCCATGGGTGGGTATAAAAGTTATGCTTTCTAAAATAAAAGAAAGGACTGATATTGCTGTTCAAAGGTGTACGCATGGCTTCCGAAACATCAGACCTTTCATCATTGCATACGCTAGTACGGGGGGGTCATCGGTCGTCGTCGGCCCAGTTTGTCTCTCTCATTAAAGCAACTGGCCGGTGACCCGTCAAAACTTAAAGAAATAGAAAAACTGTTTGTATTGAGTTGCTTAAAAAGTCTTTTGGGCAGAAGTTTTGAGTTAAGAAATTAAGTAAAAATAGATAATTGAGTCAACAGAGCACGCGCGCTCTGTTGATACTTCGTACTATACAAACAGAGCGATATCACCTCTTATATTTCCGGTGGAAGTTGAACATACACACAACACTTAGACCGCATTAAAAATTGAGGAAAAAATCTCTAAATGTTCAGCTCGTGGATGCTTTGCTTGATATGTTCTATTCATGCTGATTTGTAAAAGATACTACACAATAATTTGTGCTGGTTTTTTTGCTATTTGGTATGATACTTCAATAATGCCTTTCCAACCGGTCAATGGAGACGAGGACTATTTGGAGTCGATGGTTTTGTGAAAATATCTGCAATTTGTAAGGAAGATGAGACATGACGAGTCACAATAGAACCGAGAGCAACATGTCCCAAGCATGAAATCCTTTTGTGGCTAGAAATAGGCGTTGTCATTTGCCTTATTCCCATGTCCGTTCCGTTCAATTGTCCTCTTCTGTTTTGCCAGCATAACATGGACCTACCTAAGCATTGTTTGGAGAGACTGGACAGAGATGTACTAGACTTCTCAATGTGCAGCAGAAATTGAAGACCTCACAATCTTACCTTCTGCTGGTGATTTGATTAGAGCCCACTAGTGATATCGATATGATTCGTGTCGAAGCCTC